AAGTTACGAGTGATCAAATTATATAAGTTCCAAGCGGTCCAATTACAAGAGCTCGTGCAAGAAAACTGAGAGAATCACTTCAAGCTCTTGTGTGGACCATTCAAGATCGAGTTGGGGATGATTTGAGGATCATAGAAGGCTTGGACAATGAAGATTCAACACTTTACACTTTGCTCCAAGTTGAAGGGTCGGGTGAAGATTAATTCGGATGCAAGTTGATTAGCTAGTTAGTCATCTAGGTAGTCTTGTTAAGCAAGGGTTTATTTGTCATTTATCTCGCTGTTTTAGTTGTTAATTTTAAGCTTAATAATTCGGCCAACATTGTCCTTATTTTAGCCGAACTCTAGTCATTAGTTTTAGGGTTTCGTTAAGTCCAAATAACTTTAGGTTTGAGTCATTGTAAGGCTATAAATAGCCTAGTCTTTTCCAATAATTTTAGTTAATAAGTTTTTACAATAAAATTTGTGAGTTTATTCACTTTCTCTTGTCCAAGAGAGCTTCCTTTGAATACTTGAGAGTTTTCTTAAGTTATTCAATCCGAACTTATCAATCAAGTAAACACCTTGGTTGTGGCGTTCGTCTACCAATATCTTTGGTTCGCTAAAAATACTAAAGTTGTGGGTCGAGCTTTGTCTTGGTTCGTGACTTGTGGTTTTAGAACGGTCAAGGTTCCGCATTTCAACTTGCGTTCTTCGTCTAGATCCAGGGATTGGTTGAGTACGAGTTCTTACCTTCGGGCGGATTCGTATCAATATTTAAGTGCATCACCTGCTTCAATTTATAATGTTATTTAATTTTATAAACACTCTCCTTATTCTTTGGGATTAGTGGCAAGAAAAGATACAAAAATTGATAAATTTTTCATATTACAAAGAAATTGGGTAAGAGATAATTTAACGGATGGCATAAAAATAAAAACAAATATGCCAGTTATGAGCTTTATTCGTTTAGAAAGCAATTTTTTAGGTTTTTATTTGTCTGGAATTTATTGGAAAAAATATGATAAAACATATATTTTTACGGTGTGGTAAAAATATTAAGATGTATAAATCATATATCTAATAAATATTTAAAAAGGAATGTGGAAAAAACGATTTTTTTTGCAATAAGACTATAAAGCATTGCGCTAGGGAAGATGTATACAGTCTATTTTCCATAATTAAAATAAAACAATTAGTCTAAGAATTATTTTAGCCAAGCCATATTTAATCACAAAGCAAAATTTAAGGTTTTTATTTATTTGAGGTTTTTCTCCTTTTTGAAAGAATTTTGATATCTTGCTTAACTTTGGACCATTAGATTTACAGTAGTTGGTTGATTTTCTTTTGTAATCATTAGATCATTCAATGGTCAGACAACTTACTCATCTATTTTGGTAAAATTCAAAACTGTTGGCCGTTCTTTTATACATCTCATTCCTGGTTTCCATTTTCTTCTTGTACAAACAATATTTATAAATCATAGGCCACTATTTTACTTCCTTCAATGACTTGTTATGATTAGATATTTACCATTTACCTAAGAGTTGGGTTGTTTTTTTGTATAAATTTCAACCAATTGATTAATTGTTCTTTGCACTTTCATCATACATTCACCATTAGATTAGATCATGAATCAATGGAGTGGTTTACTAATCATTGACTACATTTTTAGATGAAAATTTTGACAACAATAAATCAAGAGGCTACATTTGACAAAGTAGATTAAAATTCATAAGCTTTTATTCATTTTATTTGTTCTCATAGCTTCCTTCCTAGTAATTTTCGTAAAACAGAGATTAAAAGGTGTGCAGCTTCTCCTTCAACAACTTATCACCAATACAACATAATTAAAACCAAAAACATTCTAAAGTTTATAGAAATTAATATATTTTTCCAACAATACACATTTGTATTTACAAGTTAGACAAAAAGAAACAAATGTGAATTTACTTCAATACAATGCAATTATTAATAAATTCAACAAAGCAACTTATTATTTCCTATGAAAAATATAACTAGAACTACTACAAAAGCTATTGTTTCATCAATTACTACCAATGAATCCATTCCAATGGGCACTGGCTGTGCATGGCACAGCCCACTCTTACTAGTATATATATTTTTTAAATTATAGGCTTTGTGTGACAATTGGTGCTCGTACAAAAGCTTTCAAGTACAAATATTTCCCATCAAATCCAGAGGCCATTGAAGGTGGGATTATAGATGACCTTTTGCATTTGAAGAATCTTTGTGTTAAACTAAATGCTGGCATTGACGAACAAAATGTGAAAGCCAAGGGAAAATCAAAATCTTCTGGTTCTTATCTTGCTGGTGTTTCAGCCAGCAGAGAGATGGTTTAGTTGGAGTCGTACTGGAGATTTTGGGGGAACCCAGCAAAGGGGATGGCGTGTCAACTTTTGAGTTCATAGGCAGTGGAGTTATTGGAGCTTTGCTAAATGACTTTACGGGTCCGTTTGGTTGGACTGAAAATATTTTTCTAGGGAAAATATTTTCCATCGAAGTCATTTTCCTGGAAAATCACTTCCTTCCCCATAATTTTCCAGTGTTTGGTTATTAAGTGAAAATATTTTCCGGTGTTTGGTTTGTCAATGAAAATATTTTCTGATATGTTTGTTGATATATTGCAAATATTTTTCTACTCTCAAAACATTCATTTCATTACAAGTTAATTTTAGTTTCTATCCATTATAATCATATTATCATTTTTATAAAATATTTATTCATATTACACCATGAATTCTTAAATTTTCCAACTCGAATTGGTAATAAGCTAGAACAATTCAATGCATACAGAAGCAAATATATGCCAAAATATAAAATATTACTCAACAAAAACGAAAATCCATCTCCAAATGGAAAACGGTCCCAAAAATAGCAAAAGAATCAATTTTTCTCCAAAAAAACTTCTAAAAGGCAAGACTCACTGTATATCTAGATTTTTCTGTATCTTCATAGATGTTTTTGTGTGAGAGTGTAGAGAAAAGAAATAAGATAGCAAAAGATAAAAAAGAGGGGAAGGTTGCCAACCATTATTACTTAAATTCCTGGCGGTTCACCATTCATGCAAGGCATTATACGATTCATACTCCAGAAATATCAGTAGACTTGTGCCAAAGGAAAATCCTTTGTCGTTACATGATGCTTCTTGCTGATAATGGCATTGATGCAGAGGAGCAAACTGATCACCTTTTGGCTTCCCGAATGTGGAAGCATGGAAAGAAGCAACGAAACAAATGAGCCCCGAAGGCAAACATGCATTCAAAAGCTCCACCCCTCCTTTCTCTTCGAACTTGAGGTAGAAGTGGAACACCGTAAGCAGGATTTGGCACCATGTACTGCTGATAGGAAGTAATGCTGGCAGCAGCTGGCATTGTAGGATCTTGCGGTCTGGGTTGTGGAACCGAACCGAAGTCTTGTGGACCAAATGTGGGATCTTGAACTTGAGCTGGGTTTGATGAGGTAAATGAGATAAACTTAGAGTTTGCATAGACGGTGTCTTGAGCCTCGTGATCGTACTCAACCCATGATGATGAAGATGATGATGTTGGTAATGGTGGGGCAGAGGGCTCATACGGCGGACAGTAATATTGGTACTGACAATGGCATGGTGGTGGTGGTGGGTTATCAATGAACAATGCCTTCTTCTTCTTCTTCTTCTTCTGCTTTCTTGACCAGAACTTGAGCTTCTTCACGGCCTTCATCATCTTCATGGCTGGCCTTCTTGTTTAAAATGGAGAAAATGAAAAAAGTCCACTGGTGCTGTATTGTTCAGCGGAATCTTGTAAGTTGATTTATTCAAATAGAAGAGATAACTTGGCTGTGGCAAAGTACGAATCTGGAAGTGGAAGCGAGATTTGATAGTCTTACGGAGGACACTTGACAAAGCATTCAAAGACAGAGAAGTTAAAAAACATCTACAACTCTCACCAGCTCCTTTTTCATGAGTCCTGAAGCCGTCGGAAATTAACTTCAGGAAAATTGTTGTGGAAGTCATTTTCCACCCGGTGGCGTGAAAACATTTTCCAGCTGAAATAATTTTCCAACCTCTTTTGCTTCCAAACACCAGAAATTCTGGAAAACCTTTTCGGGAAAATATTTTCAGTCCAAACAAACATACACTACGTGCGGCGATTTCTCTGTATGGAATTTCAGAAGCTAAGTTTCCTAAGCTGCGGCGACAAGCTATAAGGTACAAATCTTTTGTTTTAGTTGCTCTCCCATCAAATATTGGAGATGAAGACTACATTTCAGACATTGCAGCACAAGTCCCATATTTTTACTTTTTAGCTGATATTAGTCTGTTTCAAGTGCTGAATTTTCTGAGTTAAAAAAAATGCTTTTAAATGTTGGCACGTGCTGCACATGCCATCATTCCATTAGAGATTAGAAGGAATCTGTCAATTGCCCCTTTTTGTTCAAAATTGAATATATTATGAACTACATTTACTTTGCAAAATAAATTAGAGACTAGATCCACGCATCACGTATGGGGTGATAGATTAGAAACCAAAATTACAATTCTCCCATTCATTCTTCAAGAAGAGAAATTAAAACAAGTCCGAGTCGGAAAACTTTGAAGTTTCCACATCCAAGAATGTCCAGAAATCTAAAGCTACTTCAAATAGACAACATTACCCAAATGTAATCTGCTCCCGAAAATCAACTAAGAAAAAACATTAAATCTTGATCCATTCCACGTTTAAATTAAAGTTCACACTCATAATTAGTTTCGCCCCCTACATCAAAATCTTGGCTCCACCACTGTTTATGGACCAAACTCGAAACTAATTAGATCAACCAAAAAAACTACATCAACCTTAAAAACATTGATTCCAACTCGCACAAGACTGATCGATACAATACTAAACCCGATTCTGTGGGAAAGTATACAAGTCCGAGTTAAACGACAAAACAAGTCATGCGTGATGAAACAGAACAAGAATCGTATTCTCTCCAACAAAATTCTTGAGAACAAGTTCAAACTTCCCTAATGAACTCATGCAATGATAAATTGAGGACAGATAGCAATCACATGCTGATATAAATTCTCTAATACCAATGTTGTGAGTTTCATAGTTGGTGCAGGAGAGAGGCAACACCGGTTGTCATGCCATTCTATTTCAGGAACAAGCACAGAACGAATAACAAGCAGCTACTTAAACGTTAGAAAAACAGAGAAGGTAAAAAAGCACGAGCTTTACACTGTAGAACCTGCAACGTCATACTGACACAGCTGAATACAGCCAAGCAGCCCACAACCTCCAATTTTCTGAATATATACTTTGGGCTATGATGCACAGGAAGTCTTTACCCGGTCTGCTATAAATTGTCTACTGCACTTCTTATTTGGCAGTGACTACAAACATGAAAATCCGTACAGTATATAGCCTAAGAATACAGCCTTTAACCCATAACTCCTGCCAAGAATAGAAAACACGAGCAACCACTAAACCTTGATCAAATTGAATGGCTATGCCAGAGTCTACTAGGCAAAAGGATTGCCTCCAACAGACGCAACAGGACCATGAGATGGGACATTCCTGCCAAAGAAAAGGCTGATTTTAGCTGGCCTCCGTTGCGAGAGTGAAGGCAATACATCTCAATTTTGGAATAAATGACAGGAGCATCAGGATTTTGAATATTCTGAAGCCAACCTTTTCAAGACAGCATTGTCAGGACCAAAAACAAATTACACCAAATGGTTATAGCAGCACATGCATTAGGATACCACACACCTTGAATCAAAATCCTTCTCCTCCCCCAAAACACTTCCTGTTTTGCTTAATATAAGTAATCTAAGAACTACAAGCTAAACTTTCCCTATTCATAATCAGCATACTCAAGCTATTGATTCACAAAGGACAAGTAAATGCAGACCTTGAAGCATTTTTATTTATTTAATTATCAGGATTTTGAATATTCTGAAGCCAAACTTTTCAAGACAACATTGTCAGGACCAAAAACAAATTACACCAAATGGTTATAGCAGCACATGCATTAGGGTACCACACACCTTGAATCCAAATCCTTCTTCTCCTCCCCCAAAACACTTCCTGTTTTGCTTAATATAAGTAATCTAAGAACTACAAGCTAAACTTTCCCTATTAATAATCAGCATACTCAAGCTATTGATTCACAAAGGACAAGTAAATGCAGACCTTGAAGCATTTTTAGGGAAAATCGTCCAAAACGTCCCTCACATTTTGTAAAATAACTTTTTTCGTCCCTCACTTTTAAAAGTGTAATTTTATGTCCCTTACATATTCACATCGATCAAATTTAGTCCCTAACTAGGTTTCCGATCATTTTTTGGCCGGAATCCATCATGTGCAAGGCACGTGATCATTTTTTAAGGGTAAATTTGTTAAATTATATTTTACATAATCTGATCTATAGTCCTCCACATTTTATAAAATAAATTTTTTCGTCCCTCACATTTTATAAAATGATTTTTTTCATCCCTCACATTTCACAAAATGAATTTCTCCATCTCTCACATTTCAAAAAATGAATTTTTCATTTCTCACTAATTATGTGTGTGAATACATTTTTTTTAAACACATGTATATGTCTATTTGATTTTGCTTAATAATAATAGCATAAACACATGTATGTAATTGGGCCCAACTTGTGGGCTATCTTCTCTTTTTGTATGATTATGACTAATATTTACCAATAGAACCTTAATTTGCATACTTATTGTATTTTGACCGAAAATAGCTTTATTGGCCAACTTGACAATAAATGCAAGATTTTTTACTAGCTAATATCAGATGAAATCAAATGATCACGTATAATACATGGTATTCGTATTGTTAAGTGAAATCAAATAGACACATACATATATTTATGCTATTCGTATTATTAAGCAAAATCAAATAGACATATACATGTATTTAAACAAAATGTATTCACACACATATATTTTTTTTTTTAGGGTTTCCCTCACACACATAATTAGTGAGAAATGGAAATATTCATTTTTTGAAATGTGAGGGATGGAGAAATTCATTTTGTGAAATGTGAGGGATGAAAAAATCATTTTATAAAATGTGAGGGACGAAAAAATTTGTTTTATAAAATGTGGAGGACTATAGATTAGATTATGTAAAATATAATTTGATAAATTTACCCTTCAAAAATGATCACGTGCCTTGCACGTGATGGATTCCGGCCAAAAAATGATCGGAAACCTAGTTAGGGACTAAATTTGACTTATGTGAATATGTAAGGGACATAAAATTACACTTTTAAAAGTGAGGGACGAAAAAAGTCATTTTACAACATGTGAGGGACGTTTTGGACGATTTTCCCGCATTTTTATTTATTTAATTATTTATTTTAGTACGCAATGTGATGAGAAAGCAAATTGTAAATTTCCAATTAATGCTAATAAAGTTCATTAACAACATTAACCTTTCTTCCCTCAAGAAAGAGAAAGAAAACCTTTCTCGAGGAAAATCAGATAAGAATAGGTACCAAAACCATGAAAGCTATCTCTTCATTCCCATGGCAAAACAAAATTTCACTTCTCAAAACATCAAGATATAAAGTAACGGAAATGGACCCTTGACAAATTTTCTGATGCTTTCATAGTGTAAATAGAACTGCAACATCACGCACTAGGCAGTTTTTTTCAGGATTTCAAATATGAACATTCCCAAAATGCATTTGTGAATCATGAATGTTGATGTCCAGAAGACAATAAAAAAGAAAAATACTTACGACATTTGTGTGCTTGGTGCTTGCCCTACCAAGAACCCTAAGGCACCTGGAAATCCCAGGAGAGTCAGATGGAGCAAAGTCCACTTTCCAATTATAATTATGAGAAAGATGAAATTTTACTCACCATCTGAACCAGCAGGAACATAGGAAACCATTGGTTCTTGAGCAAACCAGTGCTCATTTGCACCAGCAGTGAAGGGAGTTGACATCTGGCCATTTGGCAGTGCAGCTTGCAAAGAGCTAACATCCCAGAAGTTGGACTGAGCACATAGGATCTTCAAGTTAGAAAGCCCAGACAACACTATCACAGAGTTGTAATATGCAACTATACATGAAATTGAAAATGTCCTTTAGCAATCATAGCTCCCCAACCAAAACAAAACAATAAATTCCCACTAAATCTGTCGACATTATCAGCATTAGTAGGACAACATCCAGTATATAATTTGATTTTACAAGTTGTGAAATATAAAGGGCCATGGAAAGCAAAAAGGAAAAAGTAAGTGATAGAGAATAAAGGAAACAACACAGCAGCACTCTAAAGAAAAGTTTGATTAATTGTCGAACCATTTTGTGCATTATTCTCAAACTCATAATTGAGTACCAACTCAAAATTTGCTGGGAACAGTTCCCTGCTCCTATAAAATATAAAGCATTTTAAGTTGTTAAATAAATCCCAAGGGTACCATGAGTAGATTCCATTGAAAATAAGCTGTCTCATTCTCCCCTGCTAAGGCAACTGACCTCCAGCAGTGAACCACAGAGTTAGGTGAGTGACCAATAATGATTCATGAAGACCATGCATCGCTTAAGGATTACAAAAGTTACTAAAACCTGTAAATGAATAAGACTTAATTCTGAATATCATGGGTACTTCAAACACTCTCCTACCCGGTGTAGTGAATTGAAAGAAGTGCAAAGACATCTGTGGCTTAAGGATTTCAAGTCCAAAAATTTTAAAGGGCTTGTAAGGAATTTTCTTCCCTATCTTTGAAGAGGAGCAGCCTTCTATGTTAGTTACTTCAAATTGGGAGAAAGCAGACGGATAAAAGCTACAAGAAACAGGGCGGATTAGAGTGTATATGCTTTTGAGGAATCAACCTTGACACGACTGTGATTGAAGATGCTTATGCCAGAGACAAGCATAAGCCTACTTTATATTCCATAGCACGTGTCCATTTCTTTCACGTTTCAGTGTGCCCTTCCACTGCCTCGATTTGCCTATGCATGTTTAATTAAATTTCAGCTTTTATTCTACACCTACTAACAGCTCTTTCTCCTTTCCCTAAAATCAGATGATTATAGGTTTTTATAAGCCACAAGCTACTTTAAGGTGTTCGCATTTGATTTTGGCTTCTGATTTTAGCTCATGATTAGCTGAAAAAAAAGCTAATTATGAGAAGCAGACTTTGGGGATGTTCTCGATTGCTGTAGATTTTGCAAAAAGCTAATTAATAAGAACCAGTAAAAGCTACTCTTGGGTAGATTCCAGATTTTAGCTTCTTTGCCTATTGAAAAATAAAAAAATCTAGGGACAAATCCAAACATGAACAATAAGTAAACAGATCTTTCAAAATCAGAATATAAATTCGACTGAAATAATCCGCCAGAACAAGGCTGCATTTCTAACAATCGACAATATTCTAATAGTTGCTGCATTTCTAAATCTAACAGAGCAAGCTGTTGTAGTGCAAATGATTCTCGTGTGGACAAGTGTTGAAATGACAGGCCAGTTTTGTCAACTCAGGGCATGAAGGGAAGATGCAAGGAGGGTTGGACAACCTTATTGCACAAATAGTGCAGGATAGAATCTGATGGTTAACAAAAGTGGACAGAGGACCAAAGAAATGAAATGCATCAGTTCAAAACGAGCAGACAAAAATTAATGTGGATGGAGCCTAGGCTGGGAATCCAGGACCAGCTAGCGCAGCAGACCTCTTAATAGAATGATCAGTATGCTGGCAGACTGGTTTAGTGCGAACACAGAAAATTCAGCAGTTTAGCTGCAGAACAGTGGGCAGCCGATGCTTTATGGCCTAAAATTAGCTTGATATATGGGAGAGGGAAATATCATCTGGGAATTAGACTTCATTTAAGTGGTGATCCCCTAGCAAGCGAAGCCAATGAAAACAGCTCTCCAATTTTATTCAGAAAGTAAAAAGCAAAGCGGGGTAACAGTAGGGTTGTATCCTACAACACGCTTGGAGAAGCAATTCCTGTGCAGATAATCTGGTAAATCTGGATAAATTGGCACTAAAATGAGGCCCAGGAGGGATAGTCTATAGCAAACCACCATTGACATTAAAAGGCCTCTTTATGTCGAGATGCAGCTGGTACTGCAATGCCAGTGCCTAGTTTGTACTTAATGGGCCATTGGCCCATCTAACCTATCCAAATATTTTCAGAACAGCCAGCTTTTAATATTTGATCCCCACAGACAAAACAAATATAACATAATAGCCCTAGTTAGAATTCTTGTGCAATGCCAAGCGTTGTAGAACATAGAAGTTAACCACAAATCAATATGCCCGAACATATTAAAGGATTCAGAGTGCAACATGAGTATAAGATTATTGAATGCGTAAGTCAAAAGATGAATATGATTCAGGAAGCACTGCATAGTTTCCCTTCAATGAGTTTATCTACTTATCAATTCTTAAAGGCAAGAAAACTTAATCATTTACTTCCACAAAAGAACAAAATCTCTTCTGGACACCAGCAATTCACTCCATATCTGAGTATCTCAATAGTTCTGTTTAATCAGTGCATCCAGGAACATTCCAAGACTTGCCAAATAACAAGTAGATAATAGACAAGCATACAAGAAAACAAGCAAACAAACAAACAACAAACACAGCAATCTGCAAAACTAAGATGAGTATGAAAACTTATCATTTTATGTCCGATTTAACCCCTACAACAAAAAACACATTTAACTACAGCCAATGGAAAAAGCTAAACCCATATCCTGTAAGTAGTATCTTCAAAAGTAACGTAGCAATTCTTTTAGACGGAAGTCGGAAAGTTCTCTTCTTCAAGTCTACTTATTTCTTGAAGGTCACCTGAACAGAATTCACACATGCAACTGCTTCATACACCAACATATGGCTTCAACACACTTTTGCCTTCTGTCATTTCTTAAATAAGCAGAAAGAGATAGCATATTGATAAAATGGCTTAATTTGATGAAGGCATGATGCTTTCGGCACATGATGCAATGCATAGCGGTAAAACAAGGTGACATCAGTAGTAACTACCACAGTTCAATCACTTCAACATATTTGAGATTCTGGAGTGATACAACTGAGATCCTAGTAGCAAACATAATGAAACTGTCAAATCATCTTTTGCACACGAAGAAGACAGCAATTGGTCTTAGATGCTAACAAAAGGCAGCCATTCCACCAATCTTTCAGATACCTCATCTATTGTCCCATTAGATTGTAAGGGCAAAGGAAAGTCATTGACCCAGAAATGCAAAATAGCAAAAACTGCAATTATCCATGGTGTAAACTTAGAGAGGCATCATACCATGTTTTCGCTTTCTATTTTAGCATCATAAGGAAGATCAAATGGATTGGTAGACTTTGGGCCAAGTGCATGTGAATGTCCTCCCTGTGTAATATAGGAAAACTTACTATGAGAAAAGAAACTGTTCAGTTCAGAAGCAAATGCAGTGCCAACATTGCAAAACCAGAATAAAATAGCAAAAGGACAAACCATTACAGGAGGGATTGGTGCATCATGTTGATGTTGTGACAGACTCATTTCTGATGATACAGTAGCTATTGGAGGTAAAGTATCCCTTCCAACAGTCGGAATTTCACCATTGTTGAAGCCCTGCCGAGTTAGACAATTGAATGAATGGAAGAAAAGCATCAGAAACCATGATGCAAAGGCATAAGATGGAAACAATCATACAAAGGCACAAGATGGACCAACCTCCGATTCTCTATACAAATACTGTTCTGCAAATGAAGATTGATTTACTACTTGTTCACTACTTCTCTTTACTAATTGCCCATAAGATTCTTCAAAAGCATTCCATGGCTGCAGAACAAAATAGTAACCAAACACAGACTTCTTCAACATACAGTCTCAAGTAATTAAATCAATAGAGAAAAAAATTGCCCAATAAATACCTAATGGCCCTACATTGTACTAATCGGCAGTTGCTTACCTCAATTCTTGGCTTGGCTTCAACAATTTGCCAAGCTGCACCCCATGGAGGCATTGATGAAGAAGGCCCATTGGAAGAATTATTTTCAAAAGAAGGCCACTGGTTTAAGGATAGAAGCGGGTTAAAGCTCTGCCCAGGATTTTTATCAGAAGGCACTTCTAAAACCGCAGAATTCACATTGCCCACTGGTGCTGAATGCTGAGGTGTGTCAAATGTTGCCCATCCTTCATTTTGAGGGATAACTTTTAGAGATTTATCATCAAGACTGGCAGCTGGCGGCTGCTGAGGTATCTCGGAGAACAAGTCCATAGATGAGGATTGATTAGGTTTCGGTAATTGCTGCATATCAATATTTGAAGCAGTTGACAAACAAGAAGTCCCAAATGGATCAATACTTTGGGTGGACGACAATCCTGGCAAATTAGATGTACTAACAGCTAAAGCTATAGAAGTAACATTTTGTAGTGCAAATGGTGCAGTGAAAAGGTCCAAGCTATCATGGTTCCCCTGAGCTGATGTTTGGGGTAAAGAGGTTAAAGTTGGTATTTTCTTGCTACGAGCCTCAACAGATTGTTCAGCTTCAGAGCCAACATCAGCTACTCCAACAGAAGTCTTAAAAGACAAGGAATTGCTATCCAGTGACCCAATACTTTCAGAAGAAGCAGTTCTCTGAATGTAACAGCATTATATAGTCGATCAGCTTAAAGACATTAGGATCAAACTCATAGTACTGGAAGCAACAAAGCATGTGTTTGCATCCACTTGTGAGTATGTGTCAGATGTGTTGGTCTCAAAGGCAAACTCTAACAATTTCTTGTTGGCAGAATTGTTATTTTAGAACCTACATGAGGCCCATACTAATTCAGAATGGCAGGGTGTCATGCTCTCCTCGACATCTTTAACACAAAAAAATGGATGTTCAATGTAAATATTTGAAAATTTGTTACAAAATGCTAGCAACAAAACCTCTTCAGAGTTGCTAAAATGCATATTTCACGGTTAGCGGTTTAGCATTAGGCACTGAGGTCTAATATTTAAAGAATACAAGGCATAGAAAGAACACCCAGATAGGCACTTGCAAACAGTTTGTCATGAAAAATCTCTTACAAATGCTAGTACTTTCTATTCTCCCTTGAGCAATGCATCCCACCATCTTTAGACCTTTTCAACCCTGGACACTATCATCTTTGTCCCTATTTGGCTATTTGCAATAAAACTCAGAAGGTAATTCACCAAGTATCAAATCTCTATCTAAGAATTAAGGCCATGGCTGTTCTTGGATTATAGTTTCTCACTTTGATTGTTCCATACTCTGTCTAAAGAAATCAACAACAGAAAAACACTAAATTTAATTTACTCAATACTGAAAAGCCACCTCCACAGTAAAACAATAAATGCTTAGACTAAGGACAAGTGATGTGTGGGACTATATAACTAGTAAACAAAAATTTGAGTCCCATGTTTCCTCCTCCCCCACCCCCACCCCCAATTCATTTTATAACTAAAAAAGAAATGTTTAAGCAAACATAAAATGGCTTGCAAAGTGGATTCAATCATCTATTTGAACTGATAAGAAAAAAAAAGAACCCACAGCAAACCTAAGCTCGGATGCCGCTCTGTTAACAACAAGCCCAAACAAGTACACTAACTAAAAGTAATTCCAGGGAAATAGGGAAAAAGTGAAAGAAAAGTAAAGAAAATGCAATTGAGATAATTTGACAAAACTATTTATGAGCATAAATACTAGTTTTATGACCATAAAAACATTAGGCCAGTTGCAGGCATCAAATTCTTTATATGATGACAGACCATCATTTTTATAAATTTGGGAGAGCAATAGGCCTCTTACTTCCAAATGTGTATTATCAGCATGCAAGATCACTGAACGCTAAACTTCAGTTCTTTTGACATGTAGCATAAAGCATTGAATCTAATGGTACTGCTCGCAGAAAACCTGACACAACAACGTTGTAGCACTTAGAACCTAGACAAACCAGGCAACTTATATTTTGGCCGGCAGCATAGATAATCAAGAAGAATAACCTGTGGATATAACATTTGTCCAGAACCTCTATTGGCATATGAATCTGGATATCGGTTGGCTGCATTATGCGCAATATCTTCGCCACAAAATTCTCTTGATGTTTCACTAGACGGGCTTCCGATGTCCTTCTGGAAATTAGGCGATTGTGCACTAGATGAATAGTCTGAAACTCTGGAGTTAGACCGTCCAAATCCAAACCTATCCTCGTATATATGATCACTTAAACGGCTAGGACTACGATCACTCAGTCGACTAGGACTCAGGAAACTTGAGACTTTTCCTTCATAAAGACCTCGATCTGAACCAGGCTTTCTAGTAAGAACTGGTGCATGCCTCCCATATTGTCTTTCTTCGTACTGAAAATCATATGGTGGACTCTGGGAATACGAATGATAAGAACTTGCTCGCCTTGTTTCATCTTCATGGCTTCGAGCAATCTGACAAGTGGCATATGGAAGGATGACCATCATGTTAGACTGCACTCAGGCTCATTAGAAGATAATGCTTCTGGTTGCTTCACCTCTCTTTTACCTTGAAGTCTGTGAAGCATATATAAGCTGGATGATTACCTGTGAGTCTCTAGGAGGCCTGTCAAATGACCCTCCCCCAACATACTTTTTCATCACATATACGTTCCTTATGAACTCGCGAACTTTTTCCGCATTACTGCAAGATCAAAACAGAGTTTTCATTAAATTTCTGCTAACCTTCAGTTCTTTTTACTCTATTTATAAGTAATAGGCATATGTTAATTTGAAAGAAGAAGGAAAAGAATGATGTAAGCGGTCCAGATCTCAAACCTATTGTCAGGAAGTCTCTGCCTTTGTGAATCCCAATGTTTCAAATAAACCTCTCTAGCACGCTGAAAGAGTATTATCTCACTACAAAGTATGAGAACAAGCAGTTAATAAACGAATAACAAACAATATTTACCTGATTACCACCATTTTGAAGAGCTTCCACTTCTTGGAAAGTGAACTTAGCCATCGATACAGACTTCACACGGTGAGTAAACTCACGGCTGCACCAAATATTATCCTACTTAGAATTTATCCTTTGGAGCTATTCATAAAAAAAGTTAATTAGGAAATGTGGTAGCAACATCCCCTGTACATCTAGAGAAGGCTTGGAAATGTTAGACTAAAATGAAAGAATAAAAAGATTATGAGATTTAGTCATCTGTAAAGAACTATAAGCCGCAATGTGTAATCTAAAATCTGAATGATAAAAAGAATCAAGTACAAAAAAGAAGTTACTATCGAAATCGATTGGTAAAGCCACAAAAATCACTCCCCAAACTGAGTTTAACACAATTTCTCTTGAAATGTCAAAATATCACAGCTTCAAAAAGTTTGGAGGCAAGAGAGAGAGAGAGAGAGAGAGAAACAACCATACAGAATTAAGAGAAAAAAAAAATTTTGAATAACCAAGTAAATTAAATCCAAAGCATAATGCAAAGACCACACATATGTATTTGCAGCAAATACTTGCACAAAATTTGATATTTCATTTCAGATGCGTAGAAACCTACTTTAATTAAGATTACATATCAGAGCCACAACATGAGAACTCTCAAAAGTGAAGATACAAAAATTTGTCCAAACCTAGGTCCTTACTTCTCATAGTTGTCAGCATGATTAAATCAAGGTCAAAGTTGGTCAGTCTATTCAATTCATGAGATGCTCAAGCAGTAGCTTCCTCCCAAACCTAATAGACAGTGATTAATGGTCCAACATTCCAGCTACAGAATCAAATACATCACAGTTTGCAAATTGATTTTTTGTTAGAATTTAAATCAAGGCTTCACCATTTCTAACTCCCAGTCCAAATCAGAAATCAACTCCAAAGTTCAGCCAAATTACAAACACCACTAGTGAGCAAGGACATCTGATGCATTCCTTCACGTACATAATAAATAGACATTTATACCTTCAGTAATTCATTTACACATACACATACATGTAGGCACTGGTTTGATTTCAGCCTCCCCCCCCCCCCTTTCCTTCAAGCAGACCACTGAAATGTAAATGTATGTTTACAAACACGTTCTCAGCCCATTTGAGAATTTGAAGAACAGAAAAGACAGAGAATTTTTTTCTGCTCTCAAACTAAGGATGACAGCAGCCTACCCCACGCTTTGAACATAAAGCATAGTGGTTAACAGCACCTTTTGAGAAATTGAAGAAGAGAAATGAAGCAGAATTTTTTCTATCCTCAAACTAAGGGTGACAGTAGCCTACTCATGCGTTGAGGATAAAACAGCAGTGGTTAAGGGCACCTTGTGGACCCATAAAGAGCCCAAAACCCATCGAGACATTCAAATACTTCCTAAATCTGTCACATCAACTAATTCTAAAGTAAACAAACCAAAACGAAAAAATGAGATCACCACTTTCTTGTGTTTATCTATCCATAAGGATCTGAAGAAACACAGTCATTTCTTCCATATTGCCATTATGTAAGTAGTTAAATTCTGAATTAAATAACTAAAACTGAACTCAGAGCACCATTTCCACAACGAAAGTAACAATAAATAAGTTTACCTACGAAAAATAACATTCATAAAAAAAAATCCGTTATGCAACCAACAAAATCTCCAATAAAAATGAAGATAAAAAACTCACTGTATTCCACTGCAAGTCATGCAGACAAATGTCCAGAAATTTGTACAGACATATTGAGGACCCTGCAAAATGAGCATGTGCACACACATTAGAAAACAAATACCAAATATCAAAGCCATAACTCTAAACTATCAAACGCACCCATTTTTCAAAGGAAATATTCGTAGTACTGGCTTTCAAAGGAATAACCATTTTTCTTTGCCATTCCTGATTTAATTTCTCAACGGAAACTACTACCATGAGCAAAACCTTTTGCTAACATCAATACATTTAAAATTTTAACCAACGATTGGAAAAAAAACAAAAAAAAAAAAACAATTCTCTGTTTAGATAAAGCCAAAAAAATTACAGAATTTATCGTTTTCATAGTGTAGAAATGAAATTCTTTTTCAAGCAGCAAATCCTGCAGTGATAAAACGAAAATGGAAGGATCAATTTAGCAATAAAGTAAAAAACTAAATCAAATAAACAAAAAAAATACCAAGCTGTTGCAGTTAATACATCGGCGATTGGGTGGGAGCTTCATGAGGCCTCTTATTATCTTCTCATTTCGCTCTTCTTCCTTTCTGCTGCTCATTTTCTCCCTCAAGTAGATGGTTCCAGCTTCAAAGAAGTAACTGTTTACAGGAACATATTTGATCCGAGAGGAAGAGAGAGCGAATAATTTAGGGTTTTAGATTTACGTGGGTAGAATATCCCAAGAAAAATGAAAACAGCTATCCATACCCTCTCTTTCGCTTTCTCTCTCCTTTCTCTTCCTTATGGATTTCAATTCAAAATTGTGGCCTTGTTGTGGAACTAATGATTGAAGGGAAATTATGCTTATAACCCTTTACATTTCAATTAATTGAGATATTCTCCCAAGTCTTTGTAGAATCATTGGCCGCAGAGATTTTTTTTTTTTTTTTTTTTTTCAGTGGGTGGAGAAGTACAAGGGAAAAATAATACAGAAAATTATACAATTGCATTAGTGTGAGCTTGGATTCAGGGATTTGGGTGGATTTCGATTTCAAATCCTTACCCAAATCTCGCAAATCATTTGGATACCTTGGGAAGAATCTATATATATATATATATATATATATATATATATAAGTAATTATTTTGATTAGAATGTTTTTCACTGTTATGTGACATGCCTAATTAAAGAAAATTAACAGGTTATGTATCATTTGAATTTTACCCATATTGAATATTATTTATATGTTTAAAAATTATCCCTAATTTTAAAATAACTTTAAAAATAAATAATCTTATCTTAATGATACCTATTTTCTATCAAATTTTTACATAGAACTATAGTAAAATATTTTTCCAATTACAATTATTAAAATCTTACATATTCCATAAACTATCTCTTTTCATCACCATATCGTTGATTAATATTCCAATTGTTCATCATCTCATTCCTTAATTTTGAATTAACTTAGTATAAGAAAGAGAATTAATTGTTACACTAATAGAATTATCAATATTGTTGGAAACTAAATATTTATTGATGAAAAAAGTGGATTGCTGGATCTTTTCTACTTAATTAAATGTCAATATATATTTCTAGGTTTATGGTCATTATAAAAATTTAAATTATCTAAAAGAATATTTATAAAAAAAAGTATCTACCAAGTTTTTTATATGTGATACATTATTTGATGTATACTATCATATTATAGTGAAAGTATGTAAACAAATTTTTAAAATTAGTAAATAATTGAACATTTAGAGTGCATTAATTTTTTAAATTAATATGAATGAACATGTAGGATTGTTTTTAATTTTCGTAATTAAATTATTCATATTTGTATAAATTCACAATAAAAAAATAAAAAGACCGTGGTAAGGTACGGGCAAAATTCTAGTTTGGATTTAAAATCGAAAAACAATTAGGATGTGTTTGAACTGCGTGAGTGGGTGAATTTCAAATCATTCCAAACAACCTATCATTTCAAATCACTCGTAAGCCCTGTTTGATAATTCAATTCAACGCTTAAATTTAATGGATTCAAATGTTAACATATTCAGACCATTTAATTATCAAAAATTGAACATCTGAATTGATTAAATAACACTAAATTTTCTAAGTAAAACTTGGTCCCAAAATTAATTGATAAGTTATTCACTTATCACTGATAAGATTTAATACTTAACAATTCACTAACTTAATGGATTCAAAATTCAAATTTCAAACTTCAAACTTCAATTTTTAAATTTCAGTTTTATCCAATGCACCTTTAGTCACTCCAGCTTTCCCCCAATTCTCCTTAAGCTATCCTCAATGAAGTCAAGAACAGATGACATTAACCATGGTATTATTGCCTTTGCCTGCTGCTCGCTAATTAAGAATTTGAAAAAAGAAACCAAATCACATGACCTTGTATTTAGGATGGTTTCACATGTTTTTGTGAGTTTAGGTTTGTGGGAGAGAATTGACAATTGTCATAGCCTCTGTATTGTTGGAAAAAAATCGACTCTTTTTTTATTTTTTTTACCTAGTAAAAAGCGCCTAGCAAATTGGAAGCTCCAAAGTTGAATAATAAAAAGTTGGGATTTTTAGTTGTAGGAGCTAATTTGACTAGTAATAGTGTTGGATATTTTAATAAAAAAAATATCACATGTTTATTTTGAATTCAAACACAATAAATTACAAATTGTTCAATAAATTTTTAGTTACAAATAAAACCATTCAAAAGTGTAACTTATGTCTTTAAAATGAGATTTATGTCTTGAATTGTGTAACCCATGTAATGATTAGGTTTATGAATTCATTTAGTGAATTTTTAATCATTATACAATGAATCTAAACTTTTCATTTTGTAGCTGAAATATGAGGTGTTTATTCCTCTTAATGTTGGTATTTTAATATTCCAAATTTTTTAAATTATAAATAGAGGCATCTATCAACAAAACCTAATATATACTTAGTCATCTCTAGACTATCTTCTATTTTTCATTCTCTTACTATAATTGGATTTTATGGGACAAAGAACAGTGTTGTGTGAGGTTTCTATCTTACTCTAATAGTGTAGATTGGAATAGACTACAGTGAGATAGGTTGAGTTGTTGTACCCTGGAGATGACGTACTGATACCTACTATATCAGAGGATACTCCGTAGAGGCGCGAATCATCTTAAAGAGAGTGACCTATTCCGTGCCTCAACCCACACCAAATTAACTTTTTATGGTACAAATTCTTTGTATTTTTTAATGCAATATTGAGGTATGAAATTGTTGTTAATTTCTTTGTTAAATTTTATTACAGAAATTATTGTTACTTATATGATTTATTTTGGTCAAGAACCAACAATTTTAAGACGATCAGCCTCTTGTTAAGAAAAAGAAAATATATCGCCATCTACCATATTGTAAGAATATGAAGATATGGAATTTACCAAAGTGTGAGACTAGTTTATATCAATTCTAACTATAGTTAAACTAATTGGATGGTTGATTTTTAGTATGAAATTTTCTTACTTGTGCTAGCATGTGCAATTTGTCCACTCCTTAATACATTAGTGTTTATTGGTTTATACATAGACCATTGCCTTTCATAGAATTACCCATAAACCAAAAGGATGACAGTGAGAAACACTGTTAATACTATATGACATACTTAACTTATAAAGAGGTTAAAGAAAAAGTGCATAGACCTTTTAATATATAGAATACTGAAACTTCATGCTTGAGAGTTTTGAGTTCATACAAAAAGCATACAAAGCTGGCATGAGACTTTTATGTCCATTATCTTCTGACAACATGTTAGAAGTAAATCTTTATGACTAGTATGAAATTTGTTCTTAAATACTATAAGCAATAGTTTTGTTAAGTGACTATCTCAAATTATTTTTCTACATGCATTAATGTCTTCCTTAAATTATTATTCATTGTAGGCATGTGCCGATGGAAAAGGAAAAGTTTGGAACAAAATTCATTGATTTGTATGATGTGGCTTATCTTAGTTTATTTGTATGAACTTGTGACAAAAGTGGACAGCAGCTTTCTTTCAACATAATGAATTGATTCACACTTCCTTTAGTTAATTGGTAGCGAATAATATTGTATGTTCAATTTTTATAATTTAGTGATAAAAATCTCTATTATCGGTAGATTCATAATCTTAATAGAAATGGCACTTGTATCATATGATTAGTTCATATGGTATTAAATTGCATTGCGGTTGATTTATCTCTAGTGGAACGTTTCAACATTTTGATGCATTCATTTCTAAATTCTACTATTGTTAGATTTATAATCACTATTAGTATGACATCACGTAAGACATATGCTAATCTAATTTATTTGAATTCCCAAATTTGGTAGTAGGCAAAAATAGATATAAGCATGATAAATGGTCGGGGTTAGTGATTATTTGTAGGTAAAGATGCATTAACTTCAAATGAAGCTAATCTTGTCCTACATTTATTCATAGTTTTAGATGAAGCATACCGATGTTTTGCAACTATTAAAATGCCTAATCAATAGATGAGAAAAAAAAAAAAAAAGAACCCATCAGTGAATTTGCTCAATACATTCTTAAGGAGTCACATCGCATATTCTAATGCAAGTTGACTTTGATCATTACATTCATCACAAAATAAGTTTTGTTTGTTTGATGTTGATGGGTCTTATTTGTAATTAAATTATTTTACAATGTTTGCTATGCGGTTGCCTTTGTATGCAATGCAAACTAGAATATTTCTGTAAGGATCGAAAACAACCTAAGAGGGGAGTGAATTAGGTGGTTTAAAAACTGGCCAAGATATGAGTCACTTTTTGAGAACTTGCCCTCTTTTTCTAAAGAACCACACAATGGAGCAATTGATGAGGAAGCACAAGTGCTTGGGAGTAGAAGAGATAGACAATTTATATTGCAAGACAGTAAATAAAAGGATAGAATAGCAAACCAAGTTTCAAACTCCACTTGAATTTGAATACCACTTTATATAGCAAGTTTCTTTAAGTTGATCAACTTACAACCAATCTCTTGTGTACAAAGGAAAGATCACTTCCTCCTCACCCCAAGCCGCACTTGGTCAAGCAATGAAGTTTTACTATCACTCGGATAACCCTCACAAATCTACACTATTGAAGAAATAGAAACACACTTGAAAAACTTATTGAAAGTTCCACAACTAAGAGTACAAATCTTCTTTAAAGAATATTTTCACACTTGAATCACTCAAGATCTGATGTAGTCTCAATGTGCGAAAGTTATTTGAAGTGGTTGATTTTTTTCTTTTTATAAGAAATCAAAAAATTCTTCAATTAATACTGCCAACGGATAGAAGGCAGTTAAAGAGTCAACTAGCCGTTGGTGGTGTCAGACGTCCGGTAGGCTAGTTTTCTGCATCCGAACACAGGCAGTGAGTTCAAGAAGTTTTCTTGAAATGTTTAGGACGTCCGGTACCTCCAGAATATACGTCCGAAGGTATGATGTAAAACTGGGAATTCTTATTTAATTCGTTTGGTCGTCCGGTGCCTCCAGTGTCGCAACGTTTATCGGACGTCCAGTACTCAGGTGCTGTACGTCCGATCGAGGTCAATTAGCTTGGCTTATCATCTTCGGACGTCCGAGAGTGGGTTCTTCATGCGTCCGAACTTACTCAATGATTGTCGGACGGCTGATGCAGTCTTTATGTGCGTCTGACAGCTATTTCAGCACATGTTAGCCTTTGATCCTGTTCTGCTCCAATTCTGAAAAGATCTAATCAGAGAATATTAGTAACATCCATTTTTTGTAATCATCAAAAGTTACGGATTGAGATAAACAATCTCCCCCTTTTT